AATTGAAGCTCTCTCCTGAGAATCCTTGGATCCGAGATCTTCCTATTGAAGCTGTGTCTAGAAAATCATCGATCTAGGCGAAGAGAAGCGATTGCCCTACGGATGCTTTCATAGAGACAACACCAATTGTCTCGAGGGTATTGAAAGAAGCTAAGGTCGGATCTCTCCATTGAAAGAAGCCAAGGTCATATATTACAACACAAAGTTCTAGAGCCAATCGTTTCACTTCCTTTAAATTTCAAGCTCAAGTTAGTTCAAGTCATTTCCCTTTATATGGAGGGAAGAGTTTGTGGGAGACAGGGAAGACTTTGTGGGAGAACGGTGGTTTTCGCCTTTTTGGTTTCTATTACAGTTCGGGTAAGAGTTTGTGGGAGACACAAAGTTGGTATTCAGTTTCTATTACAGTCTAATATACAGTCCAGAATTCATGAGAGAGGGGGAATAGATTCATATATAGATTCATATATAATATAATATATAAAATATATATTTTATAATTTTAAATATAATTATATAAAATTCATACATATATTAAAATCAATAAATATTATAATATAATCAGATTTGGATTTTAATTGGATAGGACGGAGTCAAATACGAATTCGATCTGATTATTAAACATTGTATTCGATCTGATTATTAAACAGATGCAGATGACAAAATCCAAATCCGATCCAATTACATAAAAACATTGTAGTTGCCGTTGACTCTTGGCAATAGGTGAAGTCCCTGAAAGTCTAGAGAGGACGGCAAGGAAAAGAAGGGAAGATAGGAGAGGAGGGAGAAGAGGGAGAGATCCCTCATAAACCCCCAAGGTTAGGGCTACATGGTAGTCCCTTCTTTTATAGAGAGAGCCCCAAGGCTATAAGTAGAAGGATCTAAAAAGGGGACCTTTCCTATTAGGAAAGAGGATGTTTATGTCATCTATTAAGGGAGCACCATAGGGATTTTTCCATGTGTCTGGCGAGATACTTCAAAGACAAAGTTTCATTTCTCTTAAAGATTCTCACGTGGCACATATAGGTTAACCCTTATATGGGTTCCCCAATAGCCATGTGTTAAAGGGCAAAATTTGACTGGTGAGGTTATCACAAGTCTCAGGCAACACCCATTGTTCACTGTGGATCCCAAGAGGTGCTTTATGCTCATTGCAAGTCTTGGATGGCCTTTTGTACTTATTGTAGATCCCAATCAACTTTTAAGCTCATCGCAATTTCCGGAATGGATATTAAGCCCATCACAAGTTTGCGATGGTTATTAAGCCCATCGCAAGTTATCGAAGATTCCATGTGTTGTTAGATTTGCACTCGTGGCCTTATTTTGATATCTACAATGTAATTGGGGTAATAAGGAACTACATGTACTTACAATTAGCCCCTGCTTATTGATAAGAGTATTCTTGTCGATAAGCATAAGCTTTATTTTCTTTTTAGTGTGTTTTGAGTTGCGATGGATGAATCTGGTGATTTTACGATTTTTTATTCTTAATGCTTAATGAGCCGACTTTTCTGCGATTTATTGCTCTTGGTGCTTGGTAGTGTTGAAATTTCTATTCTTAGTTTTTAGCCCCCTACTTCTTGATAGAAGTCATTCCGTTGAGAAGTATTAAAGAAATTAGATCGAATTGTCAGCCCCCTATTTCTTGATAGAAGTCATTCTATCGAGAAGCACGAAAGAAATTAGATCGAATTGTCAACCCCCTTGTTTCTTGATGGAAGGCGTTCTATCAAGAAGCATTCGAGAGAGGAAAAGATCGGGTCAAGTCTGCAGCCCTCCATTTGAATTCTTTTGGGGTTGGTTAAGCATGTTTTGTCAAGGGGTGCACATAGGACCTCAAGTACTTTGATACATGTTAAATATTGCTAAAACGTCCAAATGATCGCACAACGCTATTAATAGACATATGTCGTAATTGATGTGTTGTTGATAGAATTGTTGGTGGGTTTCTAAAAAATAGGAAAAGTTCAAAGATAGTTTTAAAGCATTTTGGTAAGTGGAGTATTAGGTAAGGGAAAAATATGGCACAACGTTGTTAATAAATCTATGCAAGCTTAGCCAGGGCCTACAATACTGGACCCAAGTCAAGCCTCAACATAAAACCTAGGCCCAAGCCCATAAATTTGAAGATAAGGCCAAGCTGAAAGTGATCATCAAATAAATATATTAATATTAAGACCCGGCCTGGTCCGGAAATTTGTGGGCCCATTATCCATGCCTACGATAAGCCAGATCCAATGGGCACAACATAAGAAGCACATTCAATGAGCACTTTGTAAATATTCAGACAACTTTTACTTTTAAAAGTTGTCTTTAAACTATTTCAAGGGTAGGTTGGGATATTTCAAGGGACAGGTGTCAAAAAAAATTGAAAGTATTCATTTAACGTGCTTACAATGACGTGCCTACCTGATCCAGACTCGCTTCAAGTGACCATCTAGACTACCTTCTCATCAGCAATTGTCTTATCTGTGAGATCATCTAGCTTACTTCCATTTACACGTTTAAGCATAAAATGGCCCACATTGTTCATCCTATCAAACCTCTAAAATGGCTCACATTGTCCATTCTGTTTAATGCCAAATATATTATTAACTTATAGGCACTTAAATCATTTCTTATTACTTCTACACCAAAATTTTGATGCTATTCTTACTATTTTCACCAATGTCCTTTATGAATTACCTCTTGTGCTTCTAATTTTAACCTCTTCAATTTGCAGTAGATAGGTTATGTTATCTTTTATACATAATGGATATAGGTGTAATAATTACTTTGTAGGGTGTTTTTTTCAGAATGATTCTTACTATTTTCACCACTATCACTCTTTTTCGTTAGAAATGGTATTACATGTTTGTTACAAGTAATATTCGCTCAAAATGTATGAAATTCCGGTGTTTTTGCCGTAAAAAAAGAATCCCTAGATGTTTTTGACGATGTAATATCTAAGGATCCGTTTGATTTGTGGGAATAAGGGTCTGCAATCAGAATTAGAATGGTTTATTCCAATTTCAATTGTTTGATTGGACGGAATCGAAATCGCATTTCTATTTCTAGAGGAATGCCATTCCCCCATTTAAAGGAATCACCATTCCCTCTCAATCCTTTTCAACCTATTACAATTCCGATTTCCATCTAAACCAAACTGATGGGAGGAATAGACCATTCTAATTCTGATTCCTATGCATTTTAAATTTCGATTCCAATTTCTATTCCAATTGTAAACCAAACGGACCCTAACTTTCATGCATGAAAAAGCCTAATACTTCTGGCCCTCTAGCCCTTCCTCTGTTACCATCTTCCTCACCTCGCTAAGGATGTTGGTGGATTGGCTTTTAAGTGATAAAAGTACCTTTATCAACCTAGCCCTACACTAAAATAAGATTCCATGCCACTGTCTGTGGACAATAGAATGATTAGTAGATCACATGCCATAGTGATAAGTACAGGCAAGGTTCAAAACATCGTATCGTGCCAATAGCTTTCCGATATGCCCCTACAGGGGATGTATCAAGGTTCTGACTGGTTCAGGGGGTGGAGGGGCCTTAACCACCCCCCTGAACCGGTTTTGAAACAAATAATAAAAAAAGGGCAAAAAAAAACACTATTGATATCGTCTGATACGCCCAACATATCGGGCTATCAATATTTTGAACCTTGAGTACAGGATAATTAATTTTCTGTTTTTCACAAGCTAAAATATCAAATTTCCTAAGTTGGACATCTAACATTTTGATGTCTTTTCAAATGGTCAATGCCAGCACTACTTTGATAACAAAAATCAATTTTACAATTATTGCAAATTGCTCTCATGCCCTTTCCTGTTACACGTGATGGTAAAATACTTCCAAACATCACTGGTTTTCCTTTTTAATGCCTTAGACTAGGGCAAACATCAAATTGTGTTTGAGAGGGGATCTGAGAGAAATTGGCCATTTTAATAAATATTAAAGTTTAAAATTTATAAAAAAATCTAACTAATCCAGTAATTGCACTTCAGTCCTTAGAGAGTCTGATCGTATTTTAACTTGAATGCAAAACTTTCAAGTCTCCCAAATGGTCAACTTCAATTCGAGATGAGCCTCCCCGTTGAAATTAGAGAGAGAGAGAGAGAGAGAGAATTTATGAGATATGTATAATAGTTCATTTTGGCTGGGCTGAGCTGGAGACATCCCAGGGGTCATGTCCTGCTTGGCACAGCCCATAGCTGGCAGGCCGTGTTGGGCCAGTCCGTTTTACACCTCTGCTTCTATGTAATATACCCCCATTAATTTTAATTCCATCAATCGACAAAATCTGAATTCATAGATGAAACCCCATTTAAAGACTATTCCCACAATCTTGGACTTGGAATATCAGCCAATGAGACCAAATCAGCCCCCCACAACATCCGACAGCACATTCCCACCGTGTATTAGAAACATCTCCCGACGATAATCCCAGAAATGATTGTTATCATCGGGAGACGCTCTCAATACACGGCTGAGATGTGCTGTGGGACACTGTGGGGGGCAATCTCGTGGGGGGCTGATTTGAACTCCCAATGTCCAGCCAATAACCCACATGTTGCATATTTTAGCAGCTCAAACTAAAAAAAAGGCCATTACCCAGTGTTGGTCCCCAGCTATCTGGTAAGTGGCTGATCTCAGACTCTCTCATGCTTGTCGGCTCTCAGCATTTCAAACGAGAAGGCAATTCAAACTTCCAAGATACAATTTTATCTGGATGAAGAGCTCAACTTCCTTGTGCACTGGGGATTCCATTATTTTCACATTGCTCTATCACATTTTTATTTTACTTGGATAAATTACCCACAAAAGAAGAAAAAAAAAAAAGACATTCCAGTATACATGTATATCCCAATCTGATCTTAATAATTGTACACTGGAAATCTCAGTATCTAGCATAAAAAATATAATATTTACATTTTATAACACGATTTTTAATAACAGAATAGTAGTACTCAAATCCAAACCCCAAAAAAGAACAGCTAATACCACACTGACCTCAACACCATTCTTTCTCTCAAGTTATTGTCGATTATTGGCAAAATACCAAGCATACTATGTCTTGGCAAAGAAAAAGCACAATGGAGATACAAACACAGTTGATGAAGTTAAAAGAAAATAAATAATTATCCTATCAATTGAAATATAAATTTCCACTCTGTAACGTCATGACATTCAATGCATTTTACAGCATACATGTAAAAGATAACCAACATGCATTTTACAGCATACACACTTGGCTGGTGCAAATTGGGCATGACCTTGACAATTAATACTACAGTTGAATCATCAAGCACTACAACAAGGCATTTTTCAAGTGGAAGTAACCAACATGCTAATTTATAGACCTTACCTGGATCGACTGGAATACAGAATGAGTTGAACAAGTTGGGACAACATCCGAGACAATCAAAACCACATCTCCCTCTTCCACCATTCCCCTTGTCTTCATAAGGTTAAATGTTTTCCCGATATTATCTTCCATGTCAACTGATAATTCAACACCAAGGGGAAAGACCCCCCACCACAAATTCAAAGCCTTCCTAGTGCAGTTTTCATTGGTGAATGCAAATATGGGAGGATTTGGACGGTTACGTGAGAGAAGTGATGCCATATTGCCATGCTTTGTGTACACAAAGATAGCGTCTACAGCAAGGTTGTTTGCTGCAAATAGAGTAAATTAAAAGTCAATGCAAAGTAAAGAATGACCATGGCATCAATTCTTATTCAATTACCAAATGACTAGTGTTGAATATTGAAAACACATCTCCAATATAAGTGAAACAGAAGAAAGCCTACCCATCTCCACAGCACGGTTGCAAATTTGTTCAGCAACCCGGTCAGGCAATGACACTCCTAGTGGATACTCGGAAATGAGACTATGTCGGTTTTCCTCAAGACTCCTCAACTCCATACGGCTACTTGCCATCTGTAAAACAGAAAGAGCCTTCTCACCATATGACCCAACAGCAGACTCTCCAGATAACATCAAGGCATCAACATACTGCCGAACGGCCTCAGAAACATCTGCAACCTTGTTACAATGAAAGCAAGTTGCAATTAGTAAAGAAGAGGAAAGTTTAACATGCTTCACATGTAATCCATTTAAGCATAAAGAAAAGAGGTTAGAAGAAAACGTGAGGCTTACAACTTGGTTTAATAACAACAATTCATCTCTCAAAAAGCTACGACCAACCGGCCCTGAATAAATACAGATTATGATAACACTTTCATCCCTAACAACTCCCCCTACACCAGAAGCCCCCATATTGCCCAAACTGCACACATCAAAGTTTAGTTTGACCTTTCCATTGGCAAGAGGGGACCACTCCACATTCCTTCGCCGCCTGCTATTTTGAAAATTAGCAACAAGCTGTCACTCCCTCAGTAAAACATTAAGGGAAACCTCTTTGAAACAAAATCACTACCCAATGAACATCTCTTATTTTGGTAAGCTCAAATACCTTCACCTGCTTGTGACATTCTTCAAATATTATTGCATTTCACTCACTCCAAAGTCCCCATGGAACCACTCCACACATGCAATGCCTTAGAATCTTTTGTCTTTTACTGCAATTACTCATAAGATCTTGAATAGGTCTCTCACTTTATTTGGTTCTGCCTACTCACCCCAAAAAACATGAAAAGAAAGTTGCCACAATCTAGAAGCATGGGGATGAGAAGTATGAGTAAAAGGCTGTAAGAGGATACCAGTTGGCATCTAAGGCCTACTCACCCCAAAAAAGATTTTTTTTTTTTGTAAATTGGAGGGATAGACTTATTTCCAATTGTACCTGGATTACCACTTCAACGTTTCTTTATCAATATCACCACTACGATGTTTCAATACATTAATAACAATTTCGTCAAGCAACACTATCCCTATACTAACTAAAGTTGCGTTCTTTCATGCTGAAGACAGTTTCAGAGTGAAGATTGGAAATTGGTAAGATGTGCTTATGGGCCTAAATTCTATACCAGTAGGTTCAAACCAAGATGAAGAAATCTTCAAGTTCTCTAGATGGCCCCCATATAAAGGAGTTCCTGAAATCAAATCATTTTTGTTGTTGTTGTTGATGAAACGGTGTTGTATTGAACGCAAATCTTTTAAATATTTAATTTTACAAATATTTCCAAAGAACCTCACAATTTAACAAGAGCATAGAAAATAACCATAAGAAGATCAAGACATTCAATAATTCATCAAAAAATCAAGATATTGAATATCTGTTTAGTTGAAAGTATTTTCTATCTTTCAATGTTTAGAAAATACACTTAACAAGACTTACAGAGATGTCATGCACACACACCCCATTTAGACATTCTTTTGAAAAAAATGAGTGGAGAAGTTCAGCTTATTGCTTTGTTTGGTATTAATTACAAGTTCAAAAATTTTGTTCAAACTTTCATTTCTAAGTGCTTCACTACTAGTGAAACTTTTGATGTTTATTTTGGTAGTATTATCCCCTTAAGTTCTAGTCATTTCTATTTATTGCAGTTAAGGTACTGCAACCCGTTGCGCAAAACCCAGAAATACAGATTTTAATGGAACCCAAAAACGAAGTAAAAACAGAGAGAACACACAGATTTACATGCTTTGGCTTATAGGCTATGTCACAGGCGAAGGAGGAGCAGAAAACCACTATAGAATCAACAATGGAAATTAAAGAGTTGTGTACAACCTCTCTCACAGAAACCCCAAACCCCAAAACACCCAAAAACCTCTCTACTTCTCTCTCAAGCCAAAAAGATGTATACAAGAGAAAACCTCCCAAAATACATAACTCTTCGTATTCGGGTCAGACCAATAAGCTGAATATGGCTTTTTCCCTTCAGGTTCAGGTCAGTCCCCAAAAAAAGATGTATACGAGAGAAAAACCCTAATGGCCCAAGCCCTATGCTTCCACCACAAACCACTATGAAATTTTGCCTTCAGGTTTTTCTCAACTTAATTCAGAGTGGGTAGCAATAAAGAATTCAAGGAGCAAACATAACACAACCCTTATACTTCAGTGTAGCCAACACCTCTTATTCACCTCCTAACAGTTAGACTCCAGATTCCTTCAATTTACCTCGTCAGCTTGGTTGACAAACCATAGCAATCCTGAACTTTTTTCCTATTGCTCAGTTTTAAAGGAGTACAAATACAAATATGTAGAGTGCAAATCCTTGTGTTTTGTATTATTTTATATGTATTTGTACTGTACATATAAATTGAACCTATGGAAACCTAACCTTCCTCAAACAGTCCAGAAATAATAATGTTTGCATGGTACTCCATTATCAAAGATGTTTGCAGACATCAAAGCTATTCCCATGAATAATTCACTGTATTATTTTCCACATGTTTGTTTGATTCTTTCTAATTTTATGTCTTTACCATTTTCACCTTTAATAAAAGAATAGTTACCTAAGGATGGTCTTAGCTTATCCAGTGCCTTGGGAACTGGATGTGGATCTAACTTTGGCATCAGTGGCTGTTCCCAGACACAAAAACCCATGTTCCCATGCTTGTCAGACCAAGATTTTACCATTCTTCCATTTTCATTCTTATATATTTATTTCAAAATATTATTTTATTAATATTTTCAGTCATACTTGTTTCACCCTTCACATCATCATAACTAGTCACCTCAGCAAAGTCTTTATCCTCTAAGAGAATTGCTGACAACAAAAGCACAGCCAACGAAAATGAATAGGACTAATAAAAATGAAAATTAATTAGACAGAAGAGAAAACTAATACATTCTCATAATCTCTTCTTTTCTCAAAGTAACCTATAATGCATAAAAGTTCAGAGATCCTGCAATGGTGCTATAGTTTTCCATCAAAAGATCGTTCTCAATGTATAAGAAATAAATAACTTTTTCCCCTTTTTCTTCTTTTTTCCCCTTTAGGGGGAGAGAGGGATGGCTACAAGTTTTGAAATGGATTTCCTTCCAAGCTACAAAAATAAAAAAAAAAAAGAGTAAATGAAACTACATGTTAAGCTACAGTAGTAATAGTTACTAGACTAGAATCTTCTGCCTGCTATTCAGCTGGAGAAAGACTAATTCCACAATAGTATAGTAAAAATGTACAACTAACTGAAAATGATAAATGTGATTTCTTCATGTTGTTTTTTCATAGGACATTATCGTAATACCTCAGCACGTGTTGGTGTAGGATACTCAACCATTGACTCAAGAAGTTGGGAAGCTACTATCACAGGCTTGTTTAGTTGCCTACAAACTTGAGTTATTTTCTCCTGGACAGAGGGAATCTGTTCAAGCGGAATCTCCACTCCCAGATCACCACGTGCAACCATAATTCCATCAGAGGCCTGTATGATATCTTCCAAGTTCTCAAGAGACTCCAAGCTCTCAATCTTCGCCAAAACTTTAATGAAGCTGTGAATAGAAAAATCTTATTTAAATACTCCCAAAGTTAAGGAACATTAATAAGCAATGCAAAGTGCATCTACTAAGGGGAAGAATTGGGCAGTGGAACTAAATCCACAGACTTTACCAGCTAAGCCACCTCCTGGTAGGTCATCCCCCCTTAATCCCTTGTAAAATGGTCACAAGAACTTCAGAGTGGGGTTAGGGGAGAATCGCAACCATACATTATTATAATAAATATAAAATCATCTGGAAAAGACATCATAACAAATTATCAAAACTTATCCACAACCCTAACTAGATCTGGTTACAAAAGATTAACTAAACAACAAAGTTCATTAGGAGCTCCATTGAAAAGTTCAAGCCTATCCTGTATAATATATCATAACTTTGGGTTCTTTTAGAAGACATTACATATATGCTAAGCTATAAGAGCCATATTACTTCTTTTCTGCACAATTACTATTTATGCATGATTCTTAGGTGGATTCTAATTTATAAATGAGAACCAAGTTAAGCCTTGTTTACCAATATCATATGACCATAATAAAAAAGCTGGCCAGCTACTTTAAAAGATTCATTCATAATGTTTCCGGAATTACCGGATTATGATACATTTCAAGCCAAACATTGTGTCCTTATTACTTCAGTTTTGAACCACATCAGGATGTTGAGGTCAGTGTTTGCAAGGATAAGGATGATTAAGAATCTAAACAAGACCATTGAGACAACCAGTGTATCAATGTAAAACAATAGAAAGGAATAACCGTTTACCATAAAACCTGAATGATGACTAGGGAAGGGGGGATAGAACAAAAACAAAGTTTCTATGTCACATGAATGAAGTAAGGCCTAAAGGGTATCATCTAGATTAACACCTGAATGTAAAATAAATACTGCAGAAATATTACGAAGAACCAAAAAATGAATACCATGCTAGATCTGGAAATAAGAATTTTCCTTTAAACTTTTTCTTTACAATCTGGGTATTGCCAAACCTAGACGAATAACTCAAAATAAATGTTTTCTACAGATACACTGCTAATAAAAGCATGTCATATTGTTAAGATAAACAGAGATGCTTATTTGGAACTAAAGAAAAGTCTGCAGATGGGGATGCTTTCTTACTCTGAAGATTTTGTGGCTAAATGGTTCTTTAGATTCATGATAACATTAGCATCCTTCACAAATGACATCGCAATAAAATCCACTCCTTCAGAAATTCCAAAATCAATATCATCCCAATCCTAAAATCATATAGGAAAATTTAATAGCAGTCTTAGAATTGGCAAAATAACTAAAATGAAAAGAAGCAACAATTTTAACCATTATTTATATCTAATCTATATTAGCAATGTGCATGAAACAATAAAATGGAAGGAAATAGCATAAAATTATATCCATGAAAGATGAATGAAAAGAATTTATCAAAAAAAAAAGATAAATGAAAAGGAAAGTAGCATAGAATTAAAACATTCATGATGGATAAGATCAAACTTTTTATTTCATTGAGACAACCAATAAATAGAAACATCCACTGTGTCATAATAAAGAAGGATTGCAATTTATAGATCAATTGTTATGATATGGAATTTATCATTACCAAGTATGATCAGGAAACCAACAAATATAAACAGGCAGAATGATTATAAAGAACAAATGTAGCTTTTCAAGGAGCTAATCCCTAACAATTTTCCTCTTCTGTCTTCAAGAATTGGCCATGACCTGGTTCAGAGTTTGTAGCTCTGTAAAAATCATCTCTAGCAATTGAGGGGTTATCATAATTCTAGTATAGCCAGGGCTGTACAATGTTTTAGAAAGCACCAACGTTGTTAAGATATGAATGGTTCTTTTATTTTCCCAACAAAAACCATTAAGCCTAGGGAAAGCTGAAAAAACAAGAACACCAGCGCATTTTGGAAATGAAGTTAGGATGCTACCAGATGATTAATGAAAAGTTCTTGAATCCAGAAAGCAAAAGAACTAAAAACACGGTGTCTTAAGAAAGAAGAAACGAGAGAAAGGAGTATAAACTGGCCTTTGTTGATAGGGTAGGGATCCCAAAATTCTTCTTTACGAGTTTCCCGTTTCTCCAGAAGCTCAGTTTGGCCCGCGGTAGGAGCAGACCAGGGTCAGTGCACCTGCAACGAAGATCATTATCGACCTTTTCAATAACCTCAAAACTCGTCATCCCACCATCAACAACGAGCTCATCCCCCACATTTATACCTACCACATGTTTATTTAAACAAAATGAAAACAAATTAATCAAATAAGAACAAATGAAAAATACGTAATTGAATAGAGTGGGGGAACAACTAAATGGCATTTTTCACTTCCAATCACAACGAGGAAAAGAAAATGACTTTTTACACCTCAACTTTCATGGTTTCCGTACCTTCAGAAAATCCTTCATAGTTTGCCTGAACTGTGAATGGACGAGAACCTTTAAACTTTTGCGTGGTAAACAACCAGATTGACCCATCCTATTGCCCCAAGGTGAACAAAATACTTCAATACCTTCAACTGTAAATTTTCGTCCTCTAATAATGTTTTGAGTGATTATTCTAATATTCCCGCAGAGTAAAAACCAAAACTGTTAAGTGGGTTGTACGCTCATACCTCAGCTTTGATAGATGAAGCAACTCCGTGATCAACCATGTGCATCTGGCTGCCTTCAATGTCAATCATCACCGAAATGCAAAACCCCTTTTCCTCATTCAGCCTCTTAATGTTCCTAATTACGTTCCAGTGCCATTCCCGCGTGTTATGACACATGTTAAGCCTCGCAACATTCATTCCTCTCATTGCCAATCTTTCCAACTCCTGGAAAGAGCAACAAGCAGGACCGATAGTACAAACGAGCTTCGTCTTCCTCATACCAAGAAATCCCTTTTCCTTCAACTCTGCCTCGGACACTACATCAAATCCCAAGGTCCCCTCCAAGAGACGGGAGGAATGAAAAACCCGCCTCTCCTCCTCCACACCAACACGCATAGTCGGCCGAATTCCAACAGAACGTGTAAGCTTAAATTTTGCAAGATGAGGTGGACTCCTTGGCAGACGAACTGAAACACCAAAAAAATGGTTCAGTAACATAGCACTCTGGTTCTTGGCTAAGAACTGACGAGATACACAGATCGAATCTCCTGCAACAGCCATTGACGTTTAAAATTAGACTTTGAGTACGAATTCCTGAAGATGATTCAAGAAGTAACAGTGAATAGAATTCCACTGATGGATTAAGAGCAGCCTGAGCAGGTCCAGCAGGATAACAAAGGTGTGACAGCGAACAACCGAGGAATTTGACTTTGTCCTGCACCGGATAGAAATCTCTGCCGAATCTGGTTCTCTATGTTCAAATAATAAATAAGATCGATATTTACGAGGAGGAGAGTTCCAAAGGTTGAAATTGAGAGAAGGGTCGGACAAAATATAGAAACCCTAGATTCACCTCCAACGACAGAACGACTGTTGGGGTGTATTAAATATTTGAAATCAAGTACAAATGAATAGCGGGTTTTGGCGGGTAAGTGATGTCATTCCTCAACGATGCTTGGGTCTGGGTCGGGTCCAGATAAAACCGGAATCAATCCTACAAACACCCGGAATTTTATATACTCGGATTGGATCTGAATTAGTTCGAGATTGGATGAACCAATTCCAATCCAATAAGAATTGAGAAGGTTGATTTCAGTTTCTGGAACCAGAACCAGCCCAGTCGATTTGGGTGGGTAGATCCAACCCGAGCCATTGACAGTACTACTTCCATAGCTGGAAGAAAAATTCACCCTCAATTTATTAACTTTAATAAGGCTGTGTTTGATTTGAATGAAAAAGTAGGGAAAATAAGGTAAAACTGTAAAAGTAAGGAAATTCATACAAACCAAACACGACCTTAATAATATGCTGTGACAGTGAAAAGGTGGGTGGCCCGTGGCCGGACCCTGCTTCATGTGAGTTGGAATGTTTTTCCCGAGCATCCATCCCTTTACCAACAAAAAAGTGTGTGAGGTTTTGTTTCCTATGGGCTCCTATTCTCCCAAGTCCCAAACAGCCCCCAACAGACAAGGTTTTGTTTCTTTACTAGGGGCTTGGCTTTAGTTTGTGATCTTGAATTCTTGACTGGAACACCGATACGAGCAAGCAGAAAGAAACTCACGTGGTATTAACAATGAACAGAATATGGAATTCCCAAATATTGAAAGTTTCAGTGTGCGTTCTCTCCTGTAACTGGATTATCTGGTTTATATATTTTTTAATAAAGAAGTTGCCTTAGGTTGTGACTTGTGGGTGCTAACTTATTAATTATTAGAATTAATTAATAATAATAATAATTAATAACTTAACACATATAATCATGGAAATGAATACAAAATTGATAAGAAACTTATTGTGAGAATTACGATGTTTTCAAACTGTGATTGAGTTAGATGATTAAACAACTTTTTTGTTTGGTAATCATCATTAAACCACTCAAATTAGTACGGATAGGCCCAATGCAGATTTCTGATTTTCTCTGCATAGCTATAAACATAAGATGTTAACAATCTCCACTTTATACATCAATCCCTCTGCCCGTGAATTTACATCAATTTCGAACCAGCACCCACCCCAATTGTATTTTGGGCCTAACAATCTGATCCAAGGCCGAACCGTTATACACTATTTTTTTTAATTAGTAAAGCCAGAAAAGATCTACATTAAACGAGAGATAGCACGACCCCAAAGATTAGAAAGACAAACGAAATCAAGTCAGCAGCTTGATTTGTTTCACTAAAACCGTGTAGATATCCAACACCACAATCCATAAGACCACCCAAATGATGATACTCTTCAATCACAAGCTTGATCACCCTAAAACTCAGAATCAAGGTTTTTAAAATCGAACGGATGGTCTGTTCTAACAAAAAAAATTAAAAAATAAAATGGCCAAACCATCAAACAGTTTGCTGACCAAATCAACAATTGTTGGAAAATTAATGGTTCCAGGTAAAACGGAACCAATCACCTCCCGGTTTTTCTGATCCAACCGTCTAATTTGGTCCAATTTTGAAAACCATGCACAGAATTTCCTCCAATGATGATCTCATGCTTCAGAAAATCAAGAATGATATTGTGTTCTTCCCAAGCATTCATGCCTCATCAAGGTTGACAAGGCCAAAAGTCCAAATGATAGGCTTTCAAATCAAGAATTTCACCATAGTGATTTCTAGCCATGCAAGCAAACACCATTAAACGCACAAGAAACACCAAAGTTAATTTTAATAGCTTCCCAATAAGGGCCTAACCATTGAATGTGGTTCCAAGCAGACTTGTTCATAGACCAAGGTAACCTGATGGCCAAATATTTTGTATAATAATGTTGCTTTCTTTGTTCCACATTTCTGAGCTCTTTTCATTATTTTTTTATGGTTTAAAGGTCTTCTAATAGAAATAAGTCAATTTTGTTATTCTCAATTGATGGAGGGTAATTTGGCCCGATCTCTTAGCACGGGTACACGTGGGCGTGACCTTGCTTAAGCAATGACTCAGCATGACAACACAGCGAGCGTAACTGTAACTCGGAGGGAAGGGTCCACCGAGTTCAGCCTGGCAACTCGGCGGGATAAGCTACTCGCCGAGAGCCACCTGACCCGCATCTCCGCCCCGAGGCTAAGACGCTCTGAGCTACCTCCGAGCTCGGGGCCCCCTGACCTTTCCTAATGCACGAGCTCCTCCCAATGGATTTTGGGCCATTCCCAAACAGGAACACCCCGATCCGCCTCTAGATACCCCGAGGTAAAGACACCTCGGGCCGGGCAGATCGGTGTAGCTTGCCACGGGTAGCTCGCCACTTGCGGAATAGCTCGGCACAGGGTAACTCGTGAAAGAGCGGTTCGGCATATCACAGGAAGATCTCCTGCCCGACCACTGTACTCGAAAAATCTAGGGACAGCAACCACGTCCCTCATCAGACAGTGTCGTGCCTGCCACCTTTAGAGGGTGCCTTACACTTGACAGGCACGTACCTTGCAATGACGGCCCCATGTGTGCCATCTCGGCCCTGCTTGTAACGGCTGCGGCAGGATGACAGTGGCGATTATACCTGCCCTTTCAGAGGCTAGTGGGCCTGATGCAACCGAATGTTGTTATAAGAAGCCCAATATCAAGGAACAGAGGCAACTTCCACATACTCGTGCTATCTGCACTCTTAGCCTTCATCCTCTCTTTGCATCTTTCACAGAATTCTAACTTAAGCGTCGGAGTGTTCCCGTCGGGCAAGCCCCCAGGGATCCTTCATCTTCTCCATTTTAGGTACCTTTCAGGAGTCACGCAAGTGCCAGCTAGGAGTGACCGGATTGCTCTCCATCAATCGGCGTCGTCTGTGGGAACCACTTCTAAAAGCCTTCCCCTAAACCTTCACAGTTCTTTCTTCTCTAAAAACTCAACGTTCATGGCTTCTTCAAACAATGTCGGATGTAGCATGGAGATGGATAACACCAGGGAACAACCCCAAGTTCCCACGGTCTGCATTGGGCAGTTCACCATTTCCCTCTCAGTGGACGGGATCCCTAGCCTGAACGTGCCGCGAGCAGCGGCGCCTGTGGGTGTTCCTCTTCCCCCCTCTATTGAAACGACCTTTGCTGAACCGACTATCGTCCCTCTGGCGACTAGCCAGAACCAGCTCGGCGATTTGATGCAATGCATGCGAGCCATGCAAGCCCAAGTGTAGCAGCAAGTGTTGCACCACGTCTCCCAGTACCACTATCAACAGCAATTCCCCCAGCTGCCTCAGCCTCAGCTCCCTCCTCGGTACCCAACCTCACGGCAAGCTAGGTCTCGCCGCCAGGATGAACGCCCTTCTCGCCAAGGAGAAGCTTCCCAAACCCCCCCTAAGAGCCAAGCCTCCTCCCGAGGCAGACAAGAAAGGCCGGCCACTCCGGTCTCACCGCGGGCAGTCAGGTCAGGAGGACCCCAGCTCACCAGGTCTACATCACCTCGGCAATCAAAGTTCGAAACCCCACTTCTGGAGAACTGGTTCGAGATCCTGGCTGCAGACTCCAAGCAGGATCCCTATATCCGCAGCCATCACCAGCGGCCAGAGTTGCTTCTTGCACAAACCATTCCTGACAACACGGAGGTGAGTAGCACCAATGCAGAGCCTGCCAAGAAGTAGAGACGCCACCACCGAGCTCGCCGGTCTACCACCCACAACCTGCTCGAGCTCGGAGGCAGGGAAGAGGTAAGCTCGGGTGAAGTTAAAGCTCCCCTTCTTTCTGTTCCTTCCCCCCGGTCTCCCGAGCTCCTGGCTGTTCCAAAGCCTAAGGACTTCAAGTTCCCCTCTATCGACAAGTATGATGGGTCGTTCGACCCAAATGATCATGTAGACGCCTTCCAGTCGCAGATGAACCTGGCGAGGGCCAGTGAGTCTTGCATGTGTGTGGCATTCTCCACCACTTTCAGAGGAGTGGCCCGCACATGGTACCGAAACCTTGCACCCGGAGCTATAAGAAGTTGGGCACAGTTCGCGCAAGCCTTCTTGTCCCATTTCGTCGCCAGCAAGCGGTGCCCGCGAACTGAGGAAAGCCTTCTCAGCATAGTCCAGAGAGAGGGAGAGCCCATTCGGGGCTATATCAAGTGGTTCAATGATGCATGCATGCAGATACCGTGCCTGGATCCCGCAGTGCGTCTCACAGCAGCCAAGAAGGGCGTGACGCACAAAGAATTCAAGTGACACATGGTTGTCAACCAACCGGCGACCATAACTGAATTCCTCAAGCTTGCGGACAGGTTCATAGCCACGGAAGAAGAGATCAACCAGAAGGGCGAGAGCGCACCCGAGAAAAGAAAAAGAGAAGGAGAACCTTCCAGCCAAGGAGACAGCCGAAAGAAGAAGGACATAGCTCGGGGGGCAAAGCCGGGTCAGCCATTCCGAGCTCCTGAAGCAAACCGAACTGATTACACCCTACTGAACGCGAAGCAGGCCGAAATCCTGATGGCAATCAAGGGCGCCCCGTACGTGAAGTGGCCACCCCGCCTGAGGGGGAATCCTAATGAAAGAAATAAAAATTTGTATTGTAGTTTTCATAGAGACCACGGTCATAGTACCGAGAACTGTAAGAACCTACGCGACGAGATAGAGGAGCTCATCTGTCGCGGATATTTAAGGAACTTTGTACAGAACAATAACAATAATAATAAGGCAGGTCGGCAAGGGGAGCACGGTAAGGATGCACCCGAGTCCAGCAACAGGCCGGCCGAGCAGTCATAGTGGCAGCCTCCAGAAGAAAGGCCGGTTTGGGGCACCATCCACATGATAGTGGGAGGCTCGACCGTTGCAGGTTGTAACTCAGCAGCAGCTCGGACGTCAGTTCGCGAATCTGTCAGGGAAGAACAAAATCCTCCAAAGTGGCCGAAGACGGAAGAACCAATCTTCTTCACGGAGGACGATGCGCGAGGGGTCCACTACCCTCACGACGACGCA